TCCAAAGCCCACGCTTATAATCACCACACATCACCTCTGTGACCCTACCTATAGAAGTCTCTCTCCCACTTCTAATTTGTTCCTTTAAATCTGGCACAAGATAAGAAATAAGACAGCCAGCTTATTAGAAATCTGTGTAAAATAAGAATAAATAGGAGATGGGATGGGAGGTGCCACAGTTGGAAAGGGAGCTGGGGCGAAGGTGCATGAAAATGTTAACCTTTTCACAGCTAAAGGGTATGGGGTTTCTTTTGGGGGTGATGAAAATGTTCTAAAATTGGTTGTGGTGATGGTTGCACAACTTTGTGAATATACTAAAAACCATTGAATTGCATACTTTAAATGGGTGGATTGCATCGTATATGAATTGTACCTCAATAGAGCTGTAGAGGAAGGAGGAAAAGAGGAAGTAAAGGAGGACGAGGAGGAGGAAGAAAGAAGAGAGCCAGAGGAGTCCTGATGTGCATTTTGGTGGCTCAGAAATGGTTTATGCTGAATCTCGGGGACAAACCTTTTCGCGGTCTCTGCAGACTTCTGCTCTGCCAGCTCCTTCTGCAGCTCCCTCTCCTTGGCTTCCTTCTGCCCGATGGGGCAGTCCTCGGGGACGGTGAAGAGGGACAGGGCATCTTTGCTGTCCTCTTCTCGGAGCACCTTAGCAAACACCTTCTCGGCCAGAAGTCGGACTTGCTCGTCCACTTCAGAGATGTTCAGCTTGGGGAATTGGCGCGGCATCTCGGCTAGCAGAGAAAGAACAAGCATTGATACTAATGAATTACTGGATGGCCTGAGTTACCAGGGTGGGGGAGGAGAAGGCACTGAAGTGCAGGCCAGGCCCACCTGGTCCCTGGGGTCAGCTGTCTACTCAGGAATTCCCCAGACCAAACCCAGCATGACAAGTTTGAAAATTAGCTCAATAAATAATTAGATGTGAACTGCACAGGGCCACTTACACTTCATGAGAAAGCAAATGTTCAAGAATACACCGTCAAAGAATACACCGTCTAAGGATACACCGTCTAACCAAGCATGCTTCCATTCTCCCAAACCCAAGGAATCTGCAGCACCCTGGCAGCACTGCGCTCCTGACTTGGTTTCCCTGATTGAGAAGCAGCAGGAGGGAGATCAGAGCCATCCCTCCTCCAGACTACGAGGAGGTTGTTAGGGCTGCAACAATAATCAAACCTCACTCCCCCACTTCACAGAGGGGAAGACCAAAGCCCCAAAAGTTTAACAATTAGCTTAAGGTCTCACAAGATTATAGCAGAGCCCTGGGAAATCTAAAGCTATATTCTTCATTACATAAAACAAAACCTGTTGCTGAAAAGAGAGAATCTGCAACACAGTTTCATGGTCCCCCAAGCCCTCTGGAACCCTCTAATAAGACACAGCAAATAAAATAAGGTTTTGGGACAGGGACACGCTATCCAGCTGAAAACTCCCTCTCTTAAAGAATCTTTCCCTCCCCAGCTCTCTGCATACTGCTCTCAGTAAGTGCCCTAAATCATCGGGTTTCTTTCCTTCTCTGTTTCTCTTTCTCTTTGCAAACACTTGCATAGCACTTAATATATACACTCTCCCAAGCACTTCATACTTTTAACTCAGTCAATCTCATTATTCCCATTTTATAGATGAGAAGTTAGAGAGCCAATTTGCCCAGGGCAAATAATAAGCTGGCAGAGATCTGTGCTGTTCCCAGCCTTTCTCTCCCCTATCCCTTCCTCTCTGAGCCTCTGCTCAGGATCTGAACCCAGGAACCTGGTTCCCTTAATCTCTACACTGTGTTGCTTCTCCTTGTCCATTTGGGTGTCAGGGCAGAGTCTTCTCATGGTCCCCAGCATCGCATGTATGTCATGGATGAATACTGCACCCTTTTCAACAAGCTGCCTTCACCAGCGGCAGCTCTGGAAGAGGAGTTTCCTGTCCATCTATGACCACAGTCTCTTTAAGGTGGTTTTGTTGACCAGACAGATGAGATGAAGGTGAGACAGCGCTGTGTTGCTGTCTGTCAGGAAGAGGAAGCAATTACAGGGGAGGGGGACTCATTGGGCCATGCTGGGACAGTTCTTCTCTGGCCTCACAATTTCCTCATCTGTGAGATAAAGGGGCTGGATTAAGTAGTCTCCAAGGCCCTCTTAGTTCTAAATGGTGCAATTCTAGTTACCGAGAGGTTTCAGTTGCCAGAGGAGGTCTTGCTGCTCTGGTCCTGTCTGTGGCATGGGGGACTGGGAGGGGGAAAGCAGGCTGGTAACAGGCAGTCAATGCCACTGTGTCTGAGGGCCCCTGACTCTGAAACCAATTTCCTCTTCCCTCCACACCCAGGAACATGCCTTTCGTGGGCCTCCCTCGCCCTAAGCGGGTTGAGTGAGAGGGAGCTGGTGAGGAACAGCCACCTCGGCACTCAATTGAGCTGGTCTAGGAAGCAGACACCAAGATAGCAAAGTCCTGGCCTCTGCAAAGAGGAAGATAAACAGAGCTGACTGTGGAGATCTTCAGGTCCTGATAGCAGGGAGAAGGGGAAGCTGGAAGCCATCACAGCAGAAGCTCAGAGAGATGACAGGGGAGAGGAAGGCCAGAACAGCACACAGGACAAGATTCAGGAGGCGCTCTCAGGCCGGAATAAAGTTGGACCCCTACCCCCCAACTCTAAGTCCACAGGCCAAGTGCAATGTTCCAAAACCTCACACCGCATCTCAGAAGTCGACATCAAACAGGCCCCAGGCAAAGGTCATCAAATAACATAAAGCACCCAAACTGTTTGACCAGGTAACCCCACTTCTAGAAATTTCTTCTAAGGAAAGAAACTGAAGGAAGGAAAAACACAAAGATGTTTACTTGCACTCTTTTTGTAAATAGCTTTCAAATGTCCAAATTAGTGCATGCTCACTTGAAAAAATATCAAGCAAACAAAATTATGAGGATGACGTAATCACATAAAAGTTATCTTGTGAAATAACAGCAAGTGAAAAAATTAATACATAAAACTGTACCCATGCTTTGAATACAACAATATGAAAATTCATTCCCTAATGGACAAGGACTGCAACAGAGATAAACACTCAAAATAGCCAGATGGCAGGGTTGCCTGTGTGTGAGGGGATGTCTTACATTTTAATAATTAATGCTGTTATATCTTTTTTTAACAAATACAAAGAAAATGAATAGACAATGAAAAGAGAGAAAAATAGGAAAACAAATCAAACTTCTTATTCCAGTAGATTTGGGCAATTAGGGTCCTCTCCCACCTAACCCACAGCAGAGAGAGGCCAGCCTAAAGGGGTTACACCATTGAGACCCCTCACTGCATCAGCTCCTGCCCTGCTCAGAAGCTGCTCACCATCACCACCTTCCCACCCCCTCCGCCCCCCACCCCACACACCCCAAGGCCCGACCCAGACATGCTCCACTGGACCCTCTCAGAAATGGGCATTGGGGGTGGAGGGTCCCTCTATGTCTGAGGGCTTTTATGTCAGATCCTGCCATGTTTGTCCATGAAGCACTTTTAGCTTGCTTAAGTCAACTAAACACATTTTTCAGGACGCATCTTTCTATAAAAGATATTCCTCTTTTTTAGCTTAATGGTTAAATCAACGTTTCCCAAAATGGGTCCCATGAGAAGTGGATACCCATTGCTGGTAAAACAGTTCCTGGGGTCCATTATTGGGGAGATGCTGCATTCCGTGGCCCTCAACCCACATTCATAAGCACATTAAAGACTCAAGGATCACAGAGTAGCATTTTCCCATAGAACCCCCTTTTTTTTTTTTTACAGAATCCATATGAATCTCCTGTAGAACTACTACCAATGTCTTAAATAATTGGGGAGGAATTCATCTCATACTTTAGTATGGACCAAGTAACCCACTCGGGGTGCTGCACTAAGTCTCCGGAGCTTAGTAGTCTGCCACACACCTAATGTCTTCTGGACATACTTGGCAGACAGCTCCAGCTCCCTCCTGCCAACCCTTTCCTCCACAGCTTGTCTCCCCTCTCAGACCTCCAGACACCCACCAGGCCAGGCATGCCAAGGAAAGCCCACTCTGCAGATGCCAAGCAGAGCTTCAGCCCCAGCTGCCTGTTCATGCCTGGCTCTCGATCATTTATCAGCCAAAGCCAGCAGGCTTGGGAAGCTTAACTGTGAATTCACCAGCATCAGTCAGCCAGTGATACAGCTATCTAAGTGCTACATACACCCCAATGAGCTTGAAGAAGTGTCCCAAAGTTAGAAAGCTCTAAAACACCGCCAGTTTCACCAGTCACCTTTCATGGCACCACAGCCCCTCCAGAAAGGAAGCACGGTGCCACTTCAATCCTCTCCTACACAGATGAAGCTATTCCCTGCTCTTGCCAGATTCCTATCGCCAAAACCCACAACACCGACCTGAGCCTGGCGCAGGAGCCTCCATGACCACACCTGAGGACACCAGGCGGACAACGTGCATGGGCCAGGCTGCGTGCTGCCCAGGAGACAGCCCTGTCTGCTTATCAGTGCAGTGAGCAGCAGTGAGGAAAGCAGGCAGAGTCTGGGCTGGAAATTCTTCCGTGAAAAGGAAATGCAAATGGAAAATTTCCAAGAGTCCTTAAAGGCCCCAGGTAATAATGCCAGTTATCCAAGGCAACAAGGCTGTGGTAGCCTGAATGCAGTGTCCTCACCAAAAGAAACGCCCCAATGCCACAACACATTTGCCCTCCCTGACTGATGGCAGAAGAGAAGCTGCAGCCTCCCCTAACGCCCAGACCCCTCCTGAAAGCCGAGTGGCAATGAGCGATGCCATCACCTCTGCTGACTCCGTTGTGAACCCCACTTCAGGCCTGGCCTGGTGACTGGGCTCATCTTACCAAGGGGATTTGTGTATGGCAAAGCCTGCCCTGCCTCCCTGCCCCCCCAAAGCACCCCTCCTGACGGCACCCCAGGACTGGCAGACAGAGCTCTGAGCCCAGTTGCCAATATAAGATCCGCCTCTCCTCCTCATCTGAAACAGGGAGGACCATGAACTGCTTCTGCCTTTCCCAGGAAAGGACAGAG